AGCATATAAAACACAGTTCGTGATAAGTATGAGCTTGTTTTGTAAAAGAGAACGTTGTGACTTGCTTCTAGCACTATAGATACTCTAATCCTATGGAGTTATCCTGCTTAATTGACCCTGTATTTAAGGAAGCGGCGGTTACGCCTGGAATACGTTTCGGAAAATTATGCGCTTCTCGCATTGTATAATATATAGCAGTAAAATTGTATAGCATTAGTAAAATATAATTCAGTACTGTACAACAGTATACTGCCGTGCGGCTACATAGTCGATCCACACAATGTTCAGAAAACGATATCACAATTGCACATTTGTTGTGACAAATAAGCTGATTATTTAGTCGTTTCCCATTTCAGAAGACTGGAGAACGAACCAAAATTGCCGGATACTAATATACCAGCTCTATCTTCTATATGCTAATTATCTGAAGTCATATCGTCTGATTTACCTCAAGATCGCAACTCATTACTTAATATCTCTGTTCAGAACCAATGCCAACTATGTGAAGCGATCTGTTTGCTGAACTTTTCTATGGTTATTTCAGTTCACAAAACGGTTGTGCCGTTATTCGCAGCGGGTAGTCCCTTGAACTTTTAACCGTTATGCACACGTTTGACGGGTGGGATTAGAGAGTGTATGAACTCCTTTAATAGCGGACATCCTGAACATACTACCAACTAACAAAAATGCAGATAGTGTACGAGAGACTACCTCGCCTTGAACAGCTACATTTCTTATAAGAAACTCACCATTAACCAGCTGTTAGCTATTACGACGGGACCAGATTGATCGCCGTGTAGCAGTTGAAGAGATTGCCACAATGGTGCATAACGGTTAAGGGTTTATATAATTCTAACGTTATTGGTCTTATTTCTGCTTTTGCAGAATAAGGTACCAAAATTTTGTGACCGGCATCACCACGATTTTGCAAAGCATTGTATTTTCTTGTTTTAGTTTTGTTTTCATAATTGTTTTATGAAATGGTTTCTCGCATTCGTTATCGTTCAGATGAACTGAAAGCTTTGATCATAACCGGAGGTGGCGTAATCCACGGAAGCCCTGAAGAACTATACATCGAAGCTAGCGTACACGGTAATCGATGCTTCTTCGTTTTCCAGTCACAGGAAGATAAGGACCAAACAGAAAGCATCAGTTCGTCCACTGACGTTTAAATTAACTCATATCAACGATCGCTTTTTAGGAAAGATGTCGAAGTTCAAGCTTCCTGTCCTTGATGTGGAGTGGATCTTGACTTCCATATCACAGTATTTGTTGGAGCCCTTCGAAAGCTACTTATTGTGTTAACCTTGAGCGGCAATAATGTTTTGGTCATAGCGCTTGTTCTTACAGATGATGTTTTGACCCTTTAAAATGGTCTGATGATGACGTGATGTAGCAATTATATTATTATTTTTTGATTCATGCTTCAAGGTAGCAGGTTATTTTAACGATGTGAATTATCCTTATTCACTAATAGGTTTCGATCCCGCATACCAGCTTTATCATGAATGAAAAACGATATGATGCTGCAAGAAAAGAATTGATGGTCTTCCTAAAAGAAACTAGTGCAGCGGGTGTTTACAATCATTCTTTCCAAACAAGGAATCTCGGGTTTTAAATGTATTCCCGTCGAAACAGATATGCAAAACCTATATATATATATAGTTCAATACTGTTACCGGATTTGCACGTCGAAAACGTACCGTGTAAGTAAAGTAGATTTATTCTTTACTTTATACTGATACTGCGGTAGTGACAGAGAGATTGAAGTCTTTACACCACAATATTGCACTGCCTATGACATTTAAGTGCCTGTAGTGCAAGGACATACGACCGCGTCTCTATGTTGGGTTGAACAAGGGCATGTTCAAACCCAAGCAAAGTTGCCACTGTCCATAAGCAAGCACAAGGAAATATTTGGGCTTGCATTTTGGTGTAAAACCAATTTATATTTGGTTGTTTGCATAAAGCTGGATACTCGACAATAGGTTCGTACAGCTATTATTGTAAGCTAGTACTAATTAAGCTTTACCATTTCACGAGAGGTTACCGTACTGAAGAAAAACTGAACCATAATTTTTTATGTACAACGACAGTGGTTACGGCGAATGACAAGTATACAGGTGCATGAGTTGACACATTATTGCAAGTCATTTATTTAGAGACGTGTACTTCACCAGACGCAATTTTTGAGGTGGAAGTCTTAAGAGACGGGTGGGAGCGTTCGGTGGCTTGCGCGATGACCACTGACGTGGTCGTTGTTGCCGCTGACGAGGACGACAAAGATTTTTGAGACAAATCCTCCGGCTGTGCGGAAACGACGCTCTGCTTGTTGGTAATTGGCTGATGGGCCGAAGGGGTGGAAACTGGCACTGCTTTTGGGGAAGCACCCGTGGACGTATTATCTACAATAAAGTGGTGCTTACCAGCGCAACCGAAATACTTAGTAGAGTGATCTTACATGCAACGCTGCGCTCGTAGGCGGCGACGTTTGACTGAGAACCGCCGAATCCGCTGCTGAGACTCGGTGTGACGAACGAACCGATTGGGTGAATCGTATTGTGAGGTGCTGCTCCGTCCGCGTCCCTCATCGTTAACCGGTTGAGAATACTAAGAAAAGCAAGGTGTTGAAAACTACACAAAAATGAATGAACGTCGCGATACCTCCTTTCAGACAATCCTAAACGCTGCGTAACAGGGGGCAGCCGGGACAACGTTGCGGGCAGACGACTGACGTCCGCTTTCATATCGCTCAGTAGCTCCTCAAGCTGGTTTAGCACCTTAAACAGAACCGCGTTGGCCGGTCGATTTCCGGCGAGCGACTCTCGGCTGAGGTGCTGGTGAGACTCGGCCAGACATTCGACCTCGGCGAAACGACTGTTTAGCGACATGACCGGGTTTACCACATCCTGTTGCAAGTTCAAATATGCCGCCCGGCGAAGCTGCTCTTCAATGACCAGCGCCTGCTCCAAAAGCTAAACGCAGAACCGTAATGTGGACATGATCTGGCTGAACTTACCTTGAAACGACGTTGCAGAAATTTGTTCTTGATCTCAAGAAAATTACCCTTGCCCTGTTGTGATCTGAACGGATCATTGATAATCGCAAAAACCGGGTCATTCTGTATGTCCTGATACCGGCCATAACCATGCCTAAAGGTCGTAACGCCTATTTAATTAAATAATTAGCGCATATGCATACACAACGATGCCCGCCAACAGCCAGTAGTCGTGACGACGATGCCATATTTCGTAGCCGTTATTCATCATCGCCGCTGTCTCTTCGTTTATCCATAGTGTGTGGAGTTCAGTAAATCCGCCATCTAGAATTACATCGTAGAAAGCAGGTAGAAACGCGACAGAGGGTACAGCATGAATCTGTAGCCACACAAAAAATTAGACCGTTCACCTAACTACATTCAGCCCATCATCTTTGGAGATTAAACGATTAACATTGCCTTTGACTGGAACAAAAGTGTCTAAATTTCATGTTCCTTTGTAAGTTTATCCTATAATCGGGTCGACACAACAATGACTCCTTTTTCACCAAAATAAGGTTGCGTATAATCTCAAGACAGTTATAATATTACAACCAAACGACTCTTGAACAACGTCTTTGACCTGTATGCTTAAGAATGGCAAAACAGTCAGCCATCTCGGGCATAAAGTTAGGAATTAATAACATTTTAAAAGCCTACGGAGATGCAACGTTAGTTATACTTTGTCAACAGTTTTGACACGTTAGAAACTACAAAAATTGCCTATTCAAAAAAGGAAACGGAACAATCGGTCCAACTGGATGGCTGACTACCCTTTCGGGATGCAAAGCCGGTAGCTTCAAACTGTGTTATTAACTATTATTTACTCATCTTTCATCGAGGTTTCTCTTTTCGGGTAGCGGAGGTAGACATATCAAACGGAGATTCCAACGAACCCGATCCTGTACCAGAGTGTGAGCTTCGGCAGAAGACAACTGGAGTCTGGAACACGCCTTCCATATATTTGCGCCAGGTTAATCTTGGCCGTCCCCTGGGTCTTCTGCCGGTCGGATTCGCAAGAAAGAGTTGCTTAGCCTACCTTTCTGGAGGCTTTCGCAACACGTCTAAACCATCGCAGCTGCGACTTCTCAATCTGGAGAAGCAAAGGCTGTGTATACAAAGCTCTTCCGGATGTCACTATTCCGGACCATGTCGAGACGCGTAGGCCAGCGACTCATCTCAAAAAGCCGATTTCAGCAGCTTGTACCCGGGTTCGAAGTTTATCAGTCATGGTCCATGACTCATGACCGTAGGTAAGCATCGGGATAAAGATCGACTTGAACACGAAGAGCTCAGTTTTTAGACTACGCTCTGCATTAGTCACAGTAGATCGGGCTAGTTGATGCAGAACACTACTGGCTACTACAATTCGCCAGTCGATCTTTTCCTCAAATTTTCCATCACTAGTAAACACAATTCCGAGGTACTTATACTTCAC